TTGCCAGGAGTGGTGACATGTGCCTGTAGTCCCAGCTACTCGGGACTGAGCCAGAAGAATCACTTGAACTTGGGAGGCAGAGGTTGCAGTGAGCCGAGATCACGCCATTGCATTCCAGCCTGGATAACAGAACAAGACTTTGTTTCAGAGAAAAAAAAAAAGTCATGTAGCTGGCATGTTTAGCCACATTTGTGGTTCATTTTGTGGATATTAAATGTTTTCCTACAAACTTCCACCTACTGATGATTAATCCCAGGGCAGGGGGGAAAAAAACATTTGTAGCAAATAACTAATGTAGGAAATAAGAGATTTTATTTTTAAAGTCGTCCTACTCCAGTACAGTTTGTTTTTACTTGTTACCTCCCACCTGCATATATTTTTTACATTGTTATATTTATAGTGTGTATATTTTGAATTCTTCTCTTGTTAATTAATGTTATATCGCATAAATATTTTTGGTGTTTTGGGTATACTTTTTAGAATTGCATTTTTAGCAGCAGCACAATACTGGAAGGCATTTAAAATGAATTCCTAAGTTGGGGACAGTGGCTGATATCTATAATCCCAGTGCTTTGGGAAGTTGAGGCGAAAGGATCATTTGAGGCCAGGAACTTGAGACCAGCCTGGTCAACTGATATGGTTTGACTGCGTCCCCACCCAAATCTCATCTTGAATTGTAGTTCCCATAATCCCCAGGTATTGTGCAAGGGACCTGATGGGAGTAATTGAATCATGGAGGCAGTAACCCCCATGCTGTTCTTGTGATAGTGAGTTAGTTCTCACAAGTTCTGATGGTTTTATAAGGGGCTTTTCCCCCATTGCTCAGCACTTACTCTCCTGCCACCCTGTGAAGAGGTGCCTTCCACCATGATTTTAAGTTTCCCCAGCCATGTGGAACTGTGAGTCAATTAAACCTCTTTTCTTTATAAATTACCCAGTCTCAGGTATTCCTTCATAACAGTGTGAACATGGAGTAATATAGCAACAAAGCGAGACCCCATCTTTACAAAAAATGAAAAATCAAAATTAGTTGGGCATGACAGTGTGTACCTGTCATCCCAGCTACCTGAGAGGCTGAAGTGGGAGGTTTGCTTGTGCCCAGGAGCTCAAGGCTGCAGTAAACTATGATTGTGCCCGTTTACACCAGCCTGGGCAACAAAGAAAGACCCTGTCTCTAAAAATAAATAAAATAAAATGACATCCTAACAAGCCATTTATTTAAGAACTACATGTCTGGGTTACCAACTAAAGAGTACCCTAAACTATGGCCAGCTATAGTCACTACGGTTTATAATGTTGGATAATGACATATGAGCAGACCAACAAAATGGGACTGTGAAAAGTTCGGTTTGAATGCCATAAGTCCTGAAAAGCCTCACTTTCTGTAAAATTGCACACAGAAAAATAGAGGCATAAGGGGAAAATAGGGGTAGAGGCAGATTACTCAAAACTTAAGGAACTTTGTACATTGTACCATAGCACTAGCAAAATAATAACTATCCTAACAAAACCAGTAGCTTAATTCAATCTCCACTGGCATTTGCAGCCAGCATTATAGCCCAGTTGATCCTTTGCAGCCTTAAGCCTTGAAGCACCTTCTTTCTTCTCCAAGATGTAAGACCTTCAGGACATATGCTTCTAATGGAGACCACTTCCATCAAAAGTAAAAAATCTGATCTGGGATGTAGATTTCTTCATCAGTCGACTTCAAGAGGGGCAGTGTCTTTGCAGCGTCTTTACCTGCACTCTGCTTAACACAGAGAGAGCTTAACACAGTGGAAACTGTAGCAGTTCTTGAAGCCACTAAATAAATCACTAGATTCACTAAAAGAAGGCACTTTCATAGGATTAATTTTTTTTTTTTCCTGAAGGTCTTCATATATTGCTAAGGTTTTCTCTTAAATTATGAGAAAGTTTGTGCCTGCTTGTTTCAATACATGTTTTAAACCACATGTGATCCAACATGACTTCCACATTCTACTGTCCTCCATTCTCTTTATTAATCGCTTGTGAGCTATTTCTGCTTTAAATAAACACTTGGAGCAGAGCAGACCATTTGGTCAATGTGCCAGTTCCAGTTGCAGTATTAAAAAACTGTTTGTTGTTGTTGTTGTTGTTTTAGGAACTCTTATATCTAGAGTTGGTTTCTAATTCTCGTTTCTTGCCCCATTGAAACATGGAAGGAATTTGAGGTTTGTTCTCAAGTCTGCTTTAGTCCTGAATCCTGGATGGTCTTTATTTTTGGATTGTACGTGACAGTTGAGTGAGAAGCAAGGTGTATCTCTTTTTTTTAAAAGCTGTAAACATGATTAGAAGAAGGTAGGGGCTGGGGGAAATAGGGGTGGTAATCAAGAGGGACCTTTTCTTCATGGAAAATAGGCTGCATAGATGCCTCAAACTACATGGTTCAACCTACAGCTTAAAATGGAGTACAGCTCTGTGTCAATATGGACATTTTCTTTTCACCCCCACTTTCTACCTGTTTTTGAACAGAGCATCTCAATTGTCCATATGACCCTTGAGGAAAAAAAGAAATGGAAGCTACCATTTATTTTAGTAAGAGTTCGTTGGGGCCAGGCACGGTGGCTCATGCCTGTAATCCCAGCACTTTGGGAGGCCGAGGTGGGTGGATTAGCTGAGGTCAGGAGTTCATGACCAACCTGGCCAACATGGTGAAACCCCGTCTCTACTAAAAATACAAAAATTAGCTGGGCTTGGTGGTGGATGCCTATAATCCCAGCTACTCGGAGGCTGAGGCAGGAGAATCAATTGAACTCAGGAGGCGGAGGTTGCAGCGAGCCGAGATCACGCCATTGCACTCCAGCCTAGGTGACAAGAGCAAAACTCTGTCTCAAAATAAATAAATAAATAAAAGTTAGTTGGGGCAGGGGTGTGGTGGGGGTGGTGGCTTCAAAGTAGTGCATTGGTAAATTCTATTTTTCAGGGACTGTCTTTACTGAGAATTCTGTTGATAAAAAATAATGACTGAAATTTCATCCATGAGAATCTAGTATTTTAATTCTCTTGCTAATCACCTTTTCAAAATAGATCACATTTTTGTCCTCAGTATTCAAGCTGCAAACAGAATTTTTGCATGTGGTAAAATCCATAGTTGACTTCAGGAATATCTTGAAAAAAACACCGTAAACATAGTGCTTTCTGTTCTGAAACTTCAGGAATTTTATGAAAGGGATTAGTGTGGGCTTATGTTTTCTTTTTAAAATATTTGGCATTTCTGTCTCCCTCCTGCCCTCCTTCCTTCCAACAAATATTAACATTCCATTATCAGTATTTCTCATAAGGGAGTTAACCTGTAGGCTGGTTATGGAGGAACAAAGGAAGTGCAGAGCCAGGCAAGATGTGTCAACAGGTGAAGCAGGCTGGGCGTGAGTGAGGCCTGTTGTAAGCGTGCTGCCACTGCTCTGTTCTTGTCCATGGCTGCCCTGCAGAAATGTCAGCCGGGAGTTGCTCAGTTATCCAGTTTCCAGGACTGGCTGGATGTTTGCATTTTCGTGTGAAGTCTTCTGAGTTTTTAATGTTGGCAACCAACTAAGATTTTAAAAAAGCAAACACTGTGAAGACCTAATAAATTGCTTCTGCAGGTCTGTTTCATCGGTGGGGTGCCAGTTTGCATTTGCAGCCTGGATTATGAAGAGTTGACACAGAGCAAAAAAAAAAAAAAAAAAAAATTTGTATGTATTTATATCTGAAGAATGACTGATGAAGTAAGTAATGGACTAGTAAGAAATGTATAAATGTGAAAAAGGGCCGTGGCTTGCCCAGGGACCTCATCTTGCCTAGAAATGCCTTACGAGACTCCTCTCCTCTATCCCCACGCCGTCCCCACCAAAAACCATTTAACAGCGATGGGTAATCTCAGCAGAGCCATGGACAGTCCATTTTCATTAACTTGAGCACTTATGGCTAAGTGTGCAGATTAATATCAGAGAATAGCAGAATTTTAATTTATTGACTGTTGATTTAATTTTATTTGTTAAAACTTAATTCTCTGGATACAAACCACCCTAGAGCAGGCCTCATTTTTATAGGTTTTCCAGAGTCAGT